TGGCTCAGCTGCTGATGCTGGAGCAGCGTGGTGGTGTTGGTGGTGGCCGTTGGCAGCCGTGGAGGAGGTGGGACGTGCATGTGCCGGGGGGGTTTTCTCTGAGCTTTAAGGGAGAGCCAGCTCAGTTTACCTATAGAGGGGGGGGGGTTTCTGGGTTTTCTGCATCCCCGGCAAGACTTCAGGAAGGCAGGACTTTTGTCTCTCCCCTTCTCCAGGATGACGCTCTGCATGAGGAGAAGGTACTGCTTCTCTGTTTTGCGTTTTTAAAATTTGGATTTCAAAACTGGTTTGTTTTTTTAGTCAGAACCCATGTGCATGTGTGCATGTGTGCGTGTGTGCGTGTGTGTTTCTGATCTCATTTGTATGGTGATGTGGCCGCACTTACTGTGTGAGTTTGTGCGCTCCCTGATGCAGAGCCGATCGGAACGATCTCTCTTTCCTGATAGTTTGACAAAGATAAAAAGGGTTTTTTTGCTGAACGATGCTGGCGGTGGCGTGCAAGGAATCCCTTTTTTTTGCTGAACTCGCTGCAGTGGGTATGGCGTTTCTGCAAAAGCTGTAGTTTCAACAGATTGCTCATAAAAGCTTTCAGCTCGTTTTGAACGTGTTGGTGTTTTGAAAATGTCTATTTAATGAGTTTCTGCGTGGTTCGGGGCAGTCACCTGTCAGAATGCACCCATTTAGCCCACATGACAACACTGCCTCGGCACAGCCAATAACTGATTTTTTTTCATTATTAAGCATGGCCTGACTGTCGGAAATGTTAGCTCAGCCCTAAGTGAGAACTGACTGATGCCTTCACATGCCTCCGTAAACAGATTTTAATGAGCTCATTACTAAATTAGAAGTGCTCGACCATTTTTTTTCCGATTAAAGTTGCTTTGGACAGGAATTGAAGCAGCAAAATAAAATTGCTCTAGGAAGGAGTAATTCTTCCTCTTCGCTCTCTTTCTTCCTTTTTTTATCTCACTTTACCTACTGCGGACATGTTTGAATTAATACCACTAATAATGAACCATTATTAACCTATCACAGATGAAAATACAGGGCGAGCTCTTCCCATTGTATTCGATTACTGATGGTGTTATTACGATTTCAGGCAGATTATCATTTAAAAGCCGTTTAACCAGCCGATAAGGGGTAATTAATCTTTGCACAGTCTTTCACTAATGTGTGACATCAATTGATGTCACCTCTGTGTCAAAGCTTTAATTGAATTAAAGCAGCTCTGCAGATAACAGGCCTCTTTGCACAGGGAAAAGGATCACCTGTGGCCTCAGAAGAAGCTCAGGTGAGGTTAAGCAGCAAGTTGGACCCACATAAGAGTTTGACCCAACCTCTTTGTCGCACCTTCACCCAACCCCCCCGCGATACAAACCTCGTCTCCAAGACGCCTTCCAGCTGAAATGATGAAATTTCCTGAAATCTCTGCCGCTCTCGGTCTCTCTCTCTCTCTCTCTCTTTTGTGATTCGTGTCCCTCCGTTGGCCTGGCTCCTGCATTTGGGTGCCTTGTGGCAGAAATAGAGATGTACATTTTACCTGGCGACACCTAAGTAGAGCTCCAGTGCAACGAAGGCTTAGAAGTTTGTTGAACTGATTTAAAGCGTTAAAGCGTTTCCAAACTCCAAAGAATATCTTAGTGACTGTCAAAGCGTCAGAATTATTTGAATTTGGAAAACAGGATTAGTGTTTGAGATAATAAGAATGAACTTTTTAAATATTGATTAGAGACTTTTTTTTTCTCTACTTCTGTATAATGACATCAAACATCCTGCAAATTATTACCCTTCCTCCTTTAAAGTTTTTCTCTTATTTAACAGTATTAAAGACATTTCAAACTCTTTTAAACAATCAAATCGTGCTATTTTTGTTTGAATATGCAAGTGAAACAAAACAAAATACTAAGTTAGATTATTTTCTTAAACCAAGTTAACAGTATAATGCTCACTAGCTTATATACAATGAAAAGGTGCTCAGAATCTCCATCCTAAAGATATCTTACAGATAACATGTCTATTCTTGAAATCATTCACTTAAAATTTTTGCCTTGTTTTAACTATATTTCCATGGTTTTTTAATATATATTTTCAAGACTTTCTTCGCTTTTATGTGTTCAAGGGATTCATCTATTTCTATACAAGGTCCAGAGAGTCTGGTTGGGAATTTTGAGCACTTTTAACACAAAAAGACAAAGTTTGTTTTACTTGGATGCAGAAAATCTGTTTGTTTTTAAGGCTGACTTAAGTGCACAGAAGGCATGGACTGGCACAGAAAAATGTGCTGTGATGCCTTTGTAAAATGGTCATTAACAGTCGTTTGAAGTCCTGGAATTTTAGAGAAAATATAACCTGTGGGGTTTTTGTTCTTCCAGCTGTCTGATTCTGGTGGTGCCTTCCTCCCCATGAATTAAACGTTACACATGGGTTTATTCAAGCATTACACACAATGTGCACAAGAGAGAAGCCACAAACAGATCCGTCTCCAAATCCAGTGTATATTGTACTGATATGGGCCCTCTCATTTAGTTATAGGCCAGACAAAAAAAACAAGCGTTGGGTTGAATTGAAAGATGACTTTCCATTTAGATTGTGCCTTTTTACTTGGCAGGGCTGAAAAATGTTTCAAACAGCCAGGCCTGTGAGCGGCTTCAGGTCATTGTGGTGAGTGGAGGGGCAGACCGCAGACCTGCGGCCGTGTCCAGGAGGTAAAATTTACTGCGTTATATGTCCTCATTGAGGTGTTTGGCAGGGTGGACATAAAGTTTTGGTGCTGAAGTCGTGGTTGTGGGAGTTTGTGTGAGTATGGTGTGGCAGGAAGGCCGAAGAACGAGGGGTTTTAAAATGTGGTCTGGACAGTGTTGATCCAGCAGATTATTGCTCTCCTCTGCCCCGTGCGGTTTGACCAGTCGGCCTCCTCCTCTCACAGCTCTCTCCTGAAGCCCTGACTGCTCCTCTGGGGGTCATTAACCATCATCTCAACCCCATTATTCTTCCTCTCTTTTGCCCTTTTCATCACCAGCAATCTGATTGCACAGGTCGGATGTTTCGGTAATGGTGATGGAGCAGCCTGAATAGCTTCACTGCCCATGACAGCTGTGTTAGGGCTTCGGGTTCTATTAATAGGACTGTTTTTAAATCAAAATCTAAACGATTTCTTCATTTAAGATAAACAAATTAGACACAAATACACTTTGCTTTGTATTCACTTACATCTGATGATAGAGCTGATCTGATATAACGAGTGTGTGAGCCTCTGGGATTAGCAGTTTAATTCAAGTTGAAATTAACGAGGGAAATGTTTTCATTACTTTGGTTGGGTGTGACAGGCGCCCGTGTGCTATTGAAGAATCCGGATCTATCAAAATCTAAGCTTCATTTGTTCCTTTATGGCATAAAAAAAAGTTTCTGAAGATCTTATGAAACAGAAGTTGAAATTCATTGGACTAGAAATGTTACACAACCATCTCTGAAGACTTAGACCGAAATGGTGCTCAATCAGAGAAATTGTGTAGCTCCCCAGGAGAGGTCAACCCAAAAAGGTCACTCCACGAGCAAGCCTTGTGATATTCTACGAGGTCGCAAAGGAGCTCAGCCACTCCAGCACCAATGGCCTCTTTTACATCATCTAATTTTAACAGTCCTGTTTGCCTGCTGTTTGAAAGGTCATTTGAAAAATTATTTCTCGATAGATGAGACAAAAGTCCAATAATAATGGTTCATGAGGGGGAAATCAACATGATATTCAAGCACAGGCATCCCAAGAAGTACACTGATGGCATATAGGTTTTGTTTATTCATTCTTGTTGGTTTGAGTTTTTCAAAGAAAATAACTTTTTCTATGAACATGATATAGCTTTCTTACAGCAACAAGTAATCTAATTCACTTGAACTTTTTTGGGAGTCGGTATGCTTGATATTTCATATTTACATTTACATACAACTGTAAAAAACATGTGAACCCATTTATCAAACATCAAGTGGACTTAACAGAATTAATCAATGTCTAAAGAAAAAACAGAATTTTGTGGAAACTTGTTCTATGTGCGTTTTGACAGTTAAATTATGTGGTCATTTTTGGCGAGGTGATGTCACATGTGAGCATGTTTTGCTTTTTTGTGACCAGAAGGGACTTGCAAATATTTATTTTAAAAAATCCTGATAGAAAGTGTTTGAATTACTGACGTGGATATTTACTGAGAGAAGAGGAATTAGCTGATAATAAGCAATCAGTTCATTTTAGTTTTAATCCTCAGACCTCCAAGAATTGAGGCTGTTGTGTAAAGTGAAGTTAGCAACAACTGTTCCATGTGCTCCTCTCACTCACAGAAACGACTGTTGGAACAGCCTTATCAACACAGAAGAAAACGAGGAGTAACACCTCTTCTAATCTTTGCATGGGCTGTGGTTTAGGCCACATTTGCACAGAAAACTGCAAAAACAAAGAATGAAAGGTATACCAACTTTCAACCGCCAACGCTTTGGGGGATCTTGATAAATGTGATTTCACAGCTGTGAATAGCATTCTAATGATCAAGCATAGCACTGAGCAAACTCAATGTTCATCATACTGTACATTAATTACATATCAACAACGGTTAGTCTTATACCGAACAAACTGGTTATTAAACACTTCAAGGTAGCTAACATTAGTTCAAATTAAGAAACATTTGTAAATGTGACAGAGCTTCACTGAGGAAAAATTAAGAGAACTTGTTATGAGGGGATTGAATTTAACACATGTTAAAGCTTCTATTGCTGATTTATGGGGCTTGTTTATCATCCTGAGCACTGAAGAATATCTTTTTTTTTCCAGGCCATGCAAAAGTGATGCTGTGGTCTGCTGTATTGCTTTCTATATTTCCTCAACAGTCTTTTCTGTAAAAGCCCCATTCACTCATTTCACATTTGATGCTTTTTAGGCATCCTCTTGAGAGTCATAGATGGATCACTAAGTACATCTGAGCCACCTGCTGCAAAACCCTATGTAAGAGTGCATTAGACAAAGCCCCCACCCTCCTACATATGCACACACACACACACTCACACATGCATGCATGCACTCAGGGAAACGTAGCAGTGCACTGCAGTCTTGGAGATTTACGGAGGCTGGTTCTCTGTTGTGTATAATCACTACCTGTCCGTTGGAGCTCTACTCATAAACAACGTGCTGTGACGGTGGTGGGCACCGGGCAGCTCGCTGTGTACGTTTTCATGCGTGTTTTCAGGCGTGTGTTTGAGTCTATTTGTTCTATTTTTAATGAGCTGAACCCCTTTGAAAGCTGCTTGTGTTTTTCATCTCATGTCCTTTGGGTTGTGGCAACAAAGATGGCAAACTCTGCTCTCGTTTTTGTGTCACAATCGAGTCAAATGCCACAAAATGACCTATTTGATTCAGAGCAGCTGTATAATTCAACCAAGAGTGAAGAACCTACAAAAACGAGTTAATAGAGAGCCTGGACAGGAGCTTTTGTTTTTTGGTTTGAACTTTTTACTTTAAGGACAATTGAGATGCTAAAGCAACTGAGAAAAAATGACCTGTAACCAAGTATTCATCTGGAAAACCTGGAGGTTCATATGTTAAGTGTAGGGATTTTGGGTTGGAAAATCTCAGCGGTTTGCTAGGACAGCTCTCAGTAGGATTCACTGGCACCCAAACTTAAATTTCTTGTCTCCAGGCTGATGCCGTGTTTTAGTTGAACAGCATGTGCTTGTGTGTGTGTGTTTGTGTGTGTGTACGTGTGCGTTGTGCTGTCTGTGCGTGCGTAAAATAGCTTGAGGCTTTTCTTTCCTCTACTCCTCCTAACTTGTATTTTCAATGTACATTCATCAAAAACGCTTCTAGGGAGCCAGTTTGAAGACATTTCCGTTACATAATTTTTACATACATTTTTTTTCTGCAACTGTTTCAAACAGTCATGTTTTCCGTTTCCAAATATCTTGAAGATCTTTTTGTTGTTTTTTTTGGGGGGCGGTTTCAACTGCCCAGAAATGTGCAGAATTGTTCTGCTTGTGTTTTGGCTTTTGGATTCCATCAGCTCTTTTGCTCATCCCAAAATCCTCTTGGGATGTTGACATGATTACACACTCCCCTGTGCGGAGTTCTATCAGCAGCACATGAAATCCGCTCATCGGGTCATTATCCCCTGCTGCTGCTGCTAATGATGTTGGTAGTTGGTGTGTAACTACTTAGATTCCTGCTCCTGACTTAATCAACTCTGTAGAGAAAAATGGCACGTGGCAAAAGGCAGAAACCACAATACAGTCCCCGCGATTTGAAAGCGGGTTTATTTCATTATTTTTTTATTTTCTATGGGGTGGTTGAGTCATACGCTACACATCACGAGGCTGACTTTGCTACCTTGTTAATTTGAAGGCAAGCAGGGCAGAAAGAGGCTCTTCATCCCCCTGCTGCTGCATGAGTCAGACACTTGGGTTCCCCCACTCTGTTTCTGAGGTTTAGGCCTGTGATAAGGGCTTTTCCTGAGAGTCAATCTATCTGTCAGGTAGATGCAATCAGGAAGACAGAGAGCAAGAGACAGGCTGACAGAAAGGAAGGAAAAAGCAATGAGGAGCTCTAGCAAGTTCACACCCACTCGCTTTGGTTCTCCTCTCTAATTTGGCAACGCTTTCTTCCTCTTTACTGCCTCCGACTAAATTGTAAATACTCGGGCTTTAATTTCCTCTAGAAGTTTCCAGCTTTTCCCCTCTGCCTCATTCTGAAACCTTAATGTCCTCGCCCTCCTCTCCCACCCTCCTCTTCCTCCTCTTTTCAATGCTCTGAGTTCCTCTCAAATGTCAGCGTGGCACGAGTGGGTGGCAGGCAGCACCATGTGAACGAGCCCCTTCTAAGGTTTTTGCTGCAGTGTGAGGATCGGCTAAATGGAGAAGGAAAGGGCGACTGAACGAACGCAGTATTGACACCAGAGTTGTGTGGCCGGAGACATGTCATTAACGGCTTTCCTTTTTTCACGTATATGCAGATACCACCGGTTTACTTCCTTATTCGGAGGTGAGCTGAGAAGTTTATGCTGTGGCGTAAACAAACACACATTTACATGAAAAGATACACACTATTAGTGAAAGTAGACACGTGCAATCACCCTATAAGTGTGCATCATACAGTCTTACATCTCACACGAATGCGAAAAAGCACCTCACATCTGCCAAATCCTGCACACACACACACACACGTATTGAGGGCTGGTGTGCTATGACTCAGAGGGGAGCAGCTGGAGTGAAAGCTTCGGTGGCAGCGGTGAGCTGTCACCATCTGGAAAAGTACATGTCTCTGTGCCTGCAGCCAGCAGCATAAATCACCCCCCCAACAGCCGGATGTCACTGGATCAACATGTCTCTCTATGTCATTTTGGTTTTTACTCATATATGTTTGTATGTACGTGTATCTCAAACAAGACGGTTCAATGAGATACAGGTGGCTTCGGTCTTGTCCAGACAGTCGGCCATTGTTTCCCTCTTGAATGGTCAAAACCAGCGCCCAGTCCAGAAGGGGCTTTGATCGAGCTGTGACGGCTGTCTCGTGTAATAACCTGATCCGTTTTTTTTCTGTGCGATGAAGGCTGCACCTGTGCTGCCGACGCCACCGAGATGCAGGGGATAGGGCGAAGGGGGGCGGGGGGGGCTGGAGGAATTATTTACCCTGGAAGTTTATTTCCTTTGGCCTTGTCAAACACTGTCCAGTCATTTCGGGTTGGATGTGTCAACTTGTGCTCTTCGCGCTAGGACAAATACAAAAAGAGCACGCTGACTCTGCAAAGGGTATTTGTTTTCACTGATGGGTTGGACAGCGTATGTCCCAAATCCAGCAAACAAAGTTGGAACCAAATGTACATTCTGAGCCTACAAAAATATAATCATTTGTTTTAAAAGAGCTTAAAACCAATTTTCTCAGCTAAATTTCTGTACATGTATATATATACAGTATATATTTATAGAAAGAATGAAGTATATATTTCACTTGTTTCCCCAGGAATTAATACAACTTTTAGTAAAATCTGATGTGACTCAAGGGATGAAACAGTGTTGTGTAAACAGACTTTATAACAACTTATTGTCTCCCTATATAGCTAATAACTGTATCCCGAGACACATATTTGTACTTTTAGAGGCCCTAAAATGGTCTTTTTTTCAGGGGTACCAGACCAAAGACAAAACACATTTAGCCGCTTTCTTATATGAGAGTACGACAACAGAAGTCCCTCCAATGGCAGAGTAGATTCTGTTTTAAAGTGGAAACATTCCTACTTTGGACACTATTGCCTTTCCTTCAATGGATTCTGTTTAATGTGTTAGGTGAAATTTGCTTGATGCCTGACTTGTTACTGCTTGTTCCTTGATTTCTTCCTCTAAATTTCCAACGCTCTGAACAATATTTCTTGGTTCCAAGAAGAAAGAATATTCATCGTTGAGGTGGAGTTTATTCTTCTGACGGATTGTATTTTTTTTCTCATTTCAGAGGAGCTTCACATTTGTTGAGCTTTTCTTTTGCTGTGCTGAATCCTTTAAAATGATTATGATTTGAAAATGTTGACAGCATCACTCCAACATTTTTTACACCAAACTTTTTCCGTTTAATGGGATAACTGCTGCGGTCTGTGGTCACTAATAGCTCCGAACCTGTCTGTTTGCTTTGTTCGACAGGGTCAACACAGATAAAGCACTCAGTAATTCCGCAGGCCCAAATTAGCTGTTCTCCTTCGGAAGCTAACACACATGCCGTCTCCCCCGTGGTCGAGTCCCATAAACACATGAGAGGGAAGGAACACAGACAAACCATGAAAAAGATATACATTGGCAAAACTGCCTTAAAAGTCCCCCGAAATGGCGGCAAACACCCAAAGAAGAGGTAAGAGTGAATCTCCCACGCCATCTCTCCATCCATCTCCATTTTATCTGTTTGTCCATTCATTCTGCCCATGAGGTCTCTCCTCTTGTTGTCCGGTGGCGCTAAAGCAGTCACATCACGCCTCTCAGAGCCCAGAAGCCACGCTGCCTCGTCATCTCATCTCACCAGAGTGGAAACACTCATTACGTCTGACTCAGCTCCTGTTCAGAGTGGAGGTCACTAATGGGGGGGGATTTTTCATCCCTGGAGCTACTTCGCATAAAGTCCTCCCGTAGCAAACAACAAACACCCGTATTCCCCCGGGAATGCTTCACAATCAGAACGAGGCGGAGGGTGAGGCGGCGGACACTGCCGGATAATGCGGAACTCATATGTCATCTGGTCACTGGAGACGTTTGTTGACTCACTCCGTGGACTCAGTTACCGCTGCAGCGGCGGTTGTATCTGCATTTAACAAAAATCTAGATCCAGCCCGAAGTTAGACTTGTCAGCAAAGCAACTGATCATAAACTGATATTAACAAGCATTTGTTTATGCAGAGCAACGCTAGAGGCAACAAATTCTGAAACTGTGCAAACGCCTGGTAAATATTCTGTTGAAGACCATCACAGGCTCAGGTTGAGAGTGATGATAATATCATTAAATCCTCAACAAGGTAGTCAAAAAGGAAATCAGTGATGCTTAAAACTGTTCCTTAGCAGCCATTCTCCTACTGGGCTAAGTGTACCTGTGCAATAATTGTCATGCAGGATGTGGGAAGATGCAATATGCAGGGAGGATTTTTTTGGGCTGACTACAAGCCTGTTTACTAATCTTCTGAACATATTTGATGCATCTGTGTGTGGAACCAGCTCTTCTTGGTTCAGCTCTGTTCTGATTATTACAGATCACACTATTAGTGTACGCGTGTGCATAACAAATCAAATGTTGCGATTAATTCGATAAGACAAAATGGTAAAGAAGTTACTATATTAGCACAGCCCGACAAAGGTTTTGTGTGAATTCTCGTCTGGCTCTGTCTACTTTTCATATCAATTATTTCAGAGATATGATCCTTTCATATCTCTTTTTCCTCTCAGCGTCAAACTGAGCCCCCAAACTTAGTTTCTACAATCTTGTTTGAAGAGAAAAAAACAGAAAAACCGAGAAACCGAGAAATTGAAAGGAGTGACATCAACACACCTCCATCCATTTTGTGCTTTCTGTTATCTGGCAGTAGATAGAGTCATTACCTTTCTTCCTCCATCTGTCCGTCAATACAAGGTCCATTAAGCCGAGCTACGCACTCTGATTCATCACAGCAACAGACATTTCCTCTTTTGCCACTCACACATGCCCTTTTATTAGATTGAAGCCAGGTAATGCACATATTCTCAAAATAGACATCGTTGTGTCCTCTTGCTGTTTTGTAAATCTGAGCTGCAGGGACTATTCAGACGATGTATCAGAGTTCATTGGCTCATACTTCATCACAAATGACATCTTTATTTTTTTCCATGAGGCCAGTCTCACAGGTGATTGGCTTAATGTGATGTGTTGCAGAGTTTTAATTCTAAAACGATCTTATTATTGCAGGTGTAATTGAATAAAAAGTTGTTTTCGTGTATAATTCTGTCTGGAAAACAGATTGTGTTTTGGAACCATTTTTTTTTTTTAAACTGTCAGGCACCTTTGCAAACAATTATTTCCCAGCTTTTATCACCTTCTTATTCAATTCACCACAGCTACATGTCAATTAAAATATGAACCTCATAAGGTAGTGTAAATAAGATGTTCCAGGCTTGTTTAAAACCATATGCTCCGAATCCCTTCATCTGCTGTTTGTGCAGCTCGTTGCTGGAGCAGAAGGAGGACCTGCGGAAGAGACTTTCCTACACAACGCACAAGCTGGAGCTGCTGCAGAGCGAGTTCGACTCCACGCGGCAGTACTTGGAGACGGAGCTGCGCAGAGCACAGGAGGAGCTGGACAAGTTCACAGACAAACTGCGCAGGTGGGCTCACACTGCTTCCTGCTCTTTACGCAGTGTAATATAGCTTTAAAATTATGCTGTAATAGGATACTCATTAGAAAGTTGTTTTGTTTTCTGAATTATTCGTTTTAAAGACTCTCAGACCAAGTTTGTTTTCTTGAAAAATAAAGAAAACTTTCAAAATCTAATAATTTTTACTCACCTTGTAATACAGCATGTTATCCTACCTATACAGGAAATGATCCTAGTCCATCTCAGTGTGTTCCACATTTTGTGACTGCTTAAATTTATCAGCAGATGAGGTGTTAATAAAACATAAAGCATGCCCCTGTCTTTGTGTTATTTGACTTGAGTTCTGCATTGGAAAGATCTTAAGCCACTCCTATATTATCAGCATGTAGAAAACAAACCATCGTCTGTAACTGAGCAAAGTTGAATTTGGTCTTTTTTCAGAATACAAAGCAGCTACTCAGCACTGCAAAGGATCAATCAAGATCTGGAGGAAAAGATCCACAGAAATGTACGTTTCTAAACTGGTGTGTGTGTGTGTGTGTGTGTTCTAAATCATGTCTTTGGAAGCGCCTGCCATGCCCAACAAGCATGAAGAAAAAGAAGCCTCTCAGTAAGGCAGAGTTGGGAGATGGTACAGAACACTCAGACCCAGATTGGAAATAAATCCCCTGCTGTTAGTGCCACTGACATTAATTATGGGTTATTACAATTGGTTGTCCTCCTTCCACTGGCAGAGTGATAGGAAAGCCATTGTTCCTCAGAGCAGTGCAACTCACTTCATTTGTCAGACTTTGCTTTTGCCTTAAGAAAGATACAATTAACTAGTTTGGCTGAGAACACTGTCCGACCATCAGGTGTCTTTGCTGGTGAATAGACAGCTGAAAATGCCTGTCAAATGGGTTTATTATGGGAAAAGATAATAATCATTTCAGTCACCATCATTGTGAATACAACGTGAGATACCAGGTACAGAAAAATAAGAAGCAAAGGGCCAGCTAGGATTATGAGAGAAGGAAATTGCTCATTTCTAATATAAAGGCCAGTAGCCTTTTTTGTCGATGAGAAACATTCTCACCAGTTGTTGTGGATTCACCCCACCTAAATTCTCCTTAGGGGTTGAGAGAGGTGCAGAGTAAGTCTCTCTGCAATCGTAAAGCTTGTTTACTCCAGAGGTGCCACAAACTCATCTGACCCCAGGCCCTGCACAGCCACTAAGAATGTAATTACATGACAGATAAGCGTGAGGGTTTGTTCCTCTGCTCACACCGACTTCCAAGAAGACTTTGCATTGCACACAAAGCTGATTTGTTTCCAAAAACCTTTGTCACCTGAGGCCGAGCGAATCTCTAGCAATGGGAAAATGCACAATCCAAAGAGAATTTATTCAACTGGAGCTCAGCCTGGTGACACACAGCATCCTAATGATCAATAGTGGCCAAATTTTGCTTAGCTATAACATGTCTTGTTGGCAATTTAATTGCAAAGTTGTTTATTTACAGCCAGGTTTAAATGCGTTCCAAAAACATTCAAATATATCAGGATTTGCATTTGGGTAAATGGAAACTCATTTTTGAGGTTCATCTTCAGATTATACATGTGTAGTGTATGTTTCTCTGGAGAGAAAACAATGCATGGTTTGAAGCACTCATGGGATCATTTTCATCACAATTGGTGAGTATAACTCACAAATTCAACGGTTTTCAGAGCAATCCCTGAAACACAGTTTAGTAAAATGGAGAAAAGGGAACTCTTAGCTCTGGCAACATGCCCAGGGCATACCTCAACTTTCACCCAATGCCAGCTTGGATAGCTCCTTGCCCACCTTGACGCCACAGCTTACAGGAATAAGCTGTATCGGAAATAGATTGATGGATGGTTGGAAGTCTTTGCCTGAAAAACGGAACAAAAACAACCTCCCACTCCTCTCTGCTGTGCTTGAGTTTGTCTGTCACTCAAAAGGCATTATATCTCTCAGGCCCTAATTTAAAAGTTTGGGTGAATTTAGCTGAAGATCATCCTGTAACGTTTACTTACAAATCTCTTTTTAGGTCAAGTATATGACTAAGACTTAAGCGTTTATAATGGATTTGATACATGAAGAAGGCTGTTTCACCTGAAGGGTGATTTCTAAATGCTGCACAAGCTTTAATATTGCCGTCTAATATTGTCAGTCCCAGCACCACGATGATGAAAAACGAGCTCTCAGCAGAGAGATCATCGTCCTCAATAATCACCTGATGGAGGCAAAGCTCACCATCGAGAAGCTACAAGAAGACAATGTAAGTTAGAGTCATGCTGGTGTTTTCTTCCAATTTCATTTCTTTTTGCAGAACCTGTTAGTTTAGCCTTATTTACTGCCTATAGTCACTGCTTGCAACACATTCTATTGGATTTAATTAGCTTTTGTGTGACAGAAAAGAAAACATCTAAGTGGCATTTATTGACCACATTCAAATCCTAAACAATTATAATTTTGTGTGGATTCAAAATTAGATTCAATATATTTAGCAATGTAACATTCACACATCCTGCCAAGGGTCATTTGTTAGAAAAGGCAACTAAATAATTTTGATTGTCTAAAGATACTCGTATGTGTGCTAAACACATGGTGTATAATGTAAAATGGCTCAATAATACCCTGTTTTTGCACAAGCCCTGCTTTGTATATTTTCCGTATCAATGTAATCTTCCATGTTCTCATGGTGAATAGTAAGAACACTGGCCACCATTCCCCTCTGCAGTGGGAAGTTATATCCTCAAGCGTAGGTGTAGGTTGTACAATAGCAATTCAAGCCATGTGTTCAAGTATTTTTTTATTGAGATGGAGTTGATGTGTGAACACAGCCTCTTTTTCATGTTTGCATGTAATGAACGTGATTAGGACCCAGAAGCAACCAGAGACGTACGGTCAGTTTAACACGGTTTATTATCAGACAGGGGCTTCGCAGAGGCGTGGTCAGTACAGTCCAGGTTCGATAACGGGTGGTCCAGGCAGCGCAGATAATCCAACTCGTGGTCAGGGGCTGGTCGAGGGTCAAAGCCAGGGGAGCAATCCAGGGGAGCAGGCGGGAGAACGTAGTCAGGCAGGCGAGGTCGGAACACGGGGAGACAGGCAGGATCCAGAGACTGGCAGAGCAGATCTCAGGCAGGCGGACGAAACAGACAGGGAGTAGGCAAGCTCGGGAGTCGGAGTCAGACGGGTCGTAAACAGGCAGACAGAATCAGGATATAATGCTGGAAGTACTCACACGAGGCTCGATACGTTCTGGCATTGATTTCTGGCAGGCACGGAGAATATAAGGAGGTGGGAACAGGTGAGGGTGATGAGCACTGATTGCTGTGTGAGTAGCTGAGCAGGTGGGCAGGTGGGGGTGGAGCCAGCTCCAGAGCTGGGAACATAACATGCATAGGAATTTTTTTATTGGAGGTCTAGTATCAAACAGCTTGTTGAGTGATTATATTGTGCATATACAGTATATAAGTGTTAAAAAAGTAGGTGATCATTTAAATTGGGCACATAGTTTGTTTGTCGTAAACTGTCTGCCTGGAAATGATCCATTTTTGTCTCATATAACATTTTTAACACAGGCACCAGTGTGTAAGCAATTTGTGGAAAAAGAGATTTCAGACAGTAATAGTAAATGTCAAATCCAAGCAACATAAGCAAAATAAATAGAGAAAATAAACTTGAAAGTTATCAGTCATTAGGTTGTTTTAGGGCTTTTTTTTATTTCCTCAGTTTTTTCATTCAAAATTAAGCGATTAACAAAAGATACTTTATTGGACCTTTATTAAGCTGGAATTGAATGATAAAGTGAAACACTTAAGGTATTGATCCCTGTCTTTTCTCTCTGTTTGTGTTCCTTTTCAGGACTTGTACAGAAAGGACTGCAATTTGGCTGCTCAGCTGCTGCAGTGCAACAAGTCTCTTTACAGGGCCCAGCTCTCTGAGGTGATCCCTACACTCATTTTCATGGGCAAAGGTCCATTTTTTCCCCTTTTTTCAACCGATCCTTTCTTGGTTAACTCTATTTAACTGCTCTAAGTTACAATGGGTATAAATATTTTTATTTTATTTCAACTGTATGCTGGAAATTCTGGAGTTTTTGGAGCGGTACTAAGCTTAATAATTGTGAAATAAATTGCGGTCTCAACTGTAACAATAAGGTCATCCTGCTCTTTGTGAGCCAGAACAGATACAAAGCAAGTCTTGGCAGGGTGGTGAGAGCTGAAGGTGCCTGAAGGACAGAGGGAGGTACAGCTTTCTTAGATAAGAAACTCTCACCTGAGATGTGAAATTGAAAAACACTTTCGGCTTTGAGCTTAAAAAGAACATTAACACTACAGGCTTTAGTAGCGACTAAGTACCGCTTTATTTATGATATCATTACTTATTTGATCAACCATTCCAATGTCATTTGTGACATTCTTTTTTTAAATGTGTTCTGGATGAAAATTCAACAAAAAAAATTAAAATTCAAGTCATTGTGACTCCTCTTGAGCATTACAAAATTATACAGAGCCTTTGTCAAGTAGATGTTGTAGAAGAAAGTACTGGAGTTAAATAGAGTTCATTTGGTAGGGGCCTGAGCCAGTCTTTTTTCTTCTGTCAGTCAATACGCGGTCAAGTCAGCGATTCCGCACCAGATTTGGTAATCACGTAATTGTTCGACAGCGGTTTAGCAAAAGTCAGCAGGGACGCTGCTTCAAGGCACGCTGTGAAGCAAAGTGAAGGACAGAGAAAACTACAGTGTGTGGCAAAATGCAGATGGAGAGCACACTGCAGCCTCATCATACCACCCCGCTGTTGCTTGTGAAAAGAAACGCACGTGATCATTGATGAGTGTTTTAACACTGGACCGGCTTGGCTCCACTTTCTGCTGCATCAGCCGTGGGCTTTGTGCCTTGCCCATGTGACACAATGGAACCGGTGTGTGTCCATAAGGTTAGAGTATGCCTTTCCACATTTTACCCGTATGGCTGTGAGGAAATATCAATAGGAAACGCCATTCGGTAACGCAAGACAGACTAAAAACATCATCCCGTACAAAGAACGCAGGCAAAAACATTCACGGCTGAGGATTCATCATAGGGAGAAAGTGTTTTGCTTGCTCCCTGCCAAACATAATGGGGGTCAGAGGCTATGCATGCACTTACTGTACAGTATGTCCACCGGCCTTCTGGCCCTGTGGGTGGAAGCTAATCGAAAGCATATTGATGAATGGTGCTGCAGCATTTTTGAGAAGTGCAGTGGCTCTCCAGCGCCTACTGAAGTGCTTCAGTCGTTTGTTTTGCTGCAAAACAAGCACACAGAGGCTGTGAAATGACTCGCGTTTGGAACGCCAAATAAAAAGGCTCGGAGGGATGCTGTTCGAGAGAAGCCCAAATGAAAAAATGGGCGGACTGTAATTAATCTGCATTAAGTTTATCTGTTATCAAACTGTTACGATAAATTAGATTAGCATGTTTTCTTGTTGCATCCGTGTTATCTCTAAATATGAAGTTAAAATTAGCTTGCCTCGGACTGGGAATAGGAAACGAGACGAGATTCCTGGTTACAAAGCACTGCAGTTAACTTATTGCTTGTTGCTATGGAGAGGTACAGATAGTGGATGGAAGTGTTCTTCCTGAGAAATGCTCAAAATAGAACAATGTTTTTCTCCCCTTGGCACGACATTTACCTTCATTGTCACCGATAGCATATTTTATCTTCCGTTTAGGTTCCGGCAAGTAAAAATAAACACTTACTGGGTAATGATATAATCATTGCAGTCAAAGCAAGTATATTTTATGATGTCATACGTAGAAATGAGTAATATACTGACGCTTAAAGGGACAACCAAACAACCTGCTAGTGATACAAAATAACCACAGTCTGCTTCATTAAGAAATTCCACTGTAGTATGGATGACACACATTAATAGGAATTAATTGGCAGTTTTAATGAAAGCGTCTCTCTGGCCAGGTGCTGACAGCCTTGACAGAGATAGTAGTAAAAATCATTCATTACCAAGCCAAACCAGTGAGCCTGACTCACATCAAGACATACCAACTGTCGGTTTGGATCACTGGTGACTGAAAACCGTCTGCGCCAGAATTCTGTTGCATTATTGCAATCTGGCTATTTCAATCAAGGATCTACTCATTTAAGACCTGGATGCTCAAGATGGCACGGGGTCACCAAAACAGAAGCGAGTGCATACACAAAAATGTCTAAATCGTTTAGGCTATCTGGTGACTGGTGATACTGCCGCAGAAATAGGATATTTTTAAAAAAGGTCTTACAGTCATAAAACCTCCTTTGAAAAAGAAAACTTTGTAGGAAAACGTCAAGCTATTCTGACAAGATTTGGACTCTTTTCAGATCTTGTATTTATCTGTTACCTTAGTAAACTAATTAAAAGTAGCTCTATTCAGAAGTGGCATTAATGTGTGTTTCCTTGTGTCTTGGGGTGGTCATGTCAGCTGCCCTTTTTATATAGCCATAAACAGACAATTGCCCAAAAAAAAGAGTACCTCGTACCTGCACGTTTAGCTGTCCACTTTCTATTTAGCTACAGGTCTGAACAAAACATTACCAAAGGCTCCAAACTGCAGGTCAGCAGTAAAAGCAATATCTGACCGAGCTCATTTCATATGTCTGTGCCATTGAGATGAAACACAGGGAAGTTTTTTAAAGTGCAGTTTCAAAGGAGATTCCTGGTTACACACCTCGACATGACGTGGGCAAAAAAGGGGAAGAAATCTGAACTGGCTGAGAAACTTGCATTTAAAACGATTTCCTTACATTTTTTTTACCGATAAACCTGACAATTACTGCTCAGTCGGACACAGATAACCCTGACCTGTGCCACTTTCAGTAAACTTAAATCGTTATGCTCTTTTAAAAAAAGCCTTTAATGCACCACCTGATAGATTTTCTGCTTAAAACGGCTCTGGGGAGTCTTTTGCAAGTATATTGAAGTGTAAAATCACAGTTTGAACTCAATAAATTAACCAATTGGTTTTAAACTGTATGTAGAATGTGTCAAAACTGTTTCCAACATGTCCGCCCTTCTTGGTGTAAAAACACAACAAGCGTACATCACTTTTATGCTAACCTCCTCTCCTTTTTTTTTGGCATAGCTGCCGGCTGATTTTCAGGAGCGGCTGACCATGCACCTGGAGGACTCTCCTCTCTGTCACTCCTACCCGGACTCCGTCCCGGCGTCCCTCATCGCCAACGTGCTGGAGAAGCCCGACGAGGCGTGCAGCAGCAGCCAGGCCTCCCGCTCCCCGAGCCCCCAGACCCAGGACCAGGCTTTCATCCTGGAGAGGCTGGGCCCCGGAGAGCGCCTGCGTCTGCGCGCGGCCTTCAAATCCGACCTGTACAGCAGCGACACGGCCCTGTACTGCCCGGACGAGCGCCACCGCGAGCGGCGGCCCAGCGTGGATCTCCACGGCCAGCGGAAGCTGCTGTACGGGCCCCAGAACTCCGCCGACAGCACCCCGGAGGAGGAGGAGGAGGGGGGCTCGGTGGGGCTGAGGGCCGGCTTCTCCCGGGAGCGCTTCCCCGAGTTCCCGGCCGCCCTGGGCGGCGGCTCCAGCTCCTACTCCAGCTTCAGCGGGGCCGGGTCCGAGGACAAAGGCAACGGGCCGCCCAGCAGCGCCGCTTCCTCCCCGCGCCACCACTCCCTCTACATGGACTGGAGGGACGCGGGGGACTACGAGAGGAAGAGCGACTCGTCCTGGGAGAGGGACAGTCCGAGGGGGTTCGGCAACGCTCACCCCTTCCAGCAGACGGAGCTGAGCCACCACCAGAACGGCAGCTCGCCGGTCTACAGCCGCACCATGTCCTCCTGTTTCAGCGAGCCCTACGAGCCCCTCCCGCCGTCCTCCTCCCCCAGCGTCGCCTACGGAGACAGTCGCCGCGGCAGCACGCTGGCCCCGGAGGAGGAGGAGCTGATAGGCCGATGGAGGCAGCTGAGCGTGGAGGACTTGAGCGCGCACAGCTACCGGAGCCCCGGCCGGGCCTCGCCCTACAGCTTCTCCGAGCAGCACTTCTCCGTCCGCCCCGCCAAGATCCGCCTCGGCCCGCTCTACAGCAGCTTCCAGGAGGGCGCCGACTACTACCAACCCGGAGCCGGCGCCCTGGACCCGGTCTGGGGGGGCGCCGCCAGCCCCGGCCCCGGCCCCCCAGACCGCGGCGGCCCCGACCGTTTGCACCAGGCCCACAGCCAGGCCCGCCTGTACCGGGCCGAGGACGGCCAGGGCTCGGAGCACAGCCTCTACCACTCGGGGAGCTCCAAAGACCGGGAGGGCAACGCGGCCGCCGCGGCCGCCGCCGCCGGGGGGCAGGGCGCGGATTACGGAGACCCCAGCCCAAACAGCTCCACCGAGTCCCTCAACCAGAGGACCCTGGAGATGGCCGCGGAGCTGCAGCACTACCAGGTGGAGATGCACAACATGCCCGCCCAGGGGGGCCAGTCCCCGCCGCCGCCGGCCCCGCCGCCCCCTCCCCCCTACAGCCAGAAGTTTGGCTCTCTGGGACTCTCCAGGAAGGACAGTCTCACCAAGGCCCAACTGTACGGGACGCTTCTTAACTGAAAGGCTCCGGGGTCGGGGTTTCGACCGTTTGGCAGGCGGAGCGGAACTCGCCGGAGCGTCGTGCGCTCGGCTACATCACACTCTGGTTCCAAAAAAAAGACGGTCTGACAAGCGGCCAGGAGCTGAGTCATTCAAAAAAGATGTAACGGCTGCAGGTCATCCAAGAGCTGAGATCATGCGGCGCATCGCAACGTTTTATAAGACAAGGATGGAGAGGAAGGATTTCATGAGTAAAGCGGCTAAAAAGCAGGACTAGACCGAGGACCTCGTACAACTCTTAAAGTCTATACGAAGGCGTGTGTACTCGAATTTCAAATGTAAAAATATATACTAAATTAAAGTTGATATAAGATTGAGTGATATATTTTGTATGTAGCTGTTAGCAAGAATTACACAAATCTTCCTGATAATCCTGGAACTTGTACATAAATCAAAAACTGCAGATGCTATATTTGAAAAAAGGAGAGATGAATTGTATCTCTCCTCCAAGAACTCCACATAGAATAGTTTCAGTCATTATTTTACACTGAAACAGCGCCGGCCTTTCGGAGAGGGGCTGTGGAATGGAAAAAAAAGCTAACAAACCCCTTAGGTGACCAATATACACTTTTTTTCTGTTAATTGAATTCGACAGTATCAATGGGTGTGTTTTGTTGTTATTGATGGAACAATTTGAAATGTAAACATCTGTTTTAGAAGTCAATATTGGTTCATTTCTGCTCCTCTATATTCCCCAGAGAGGTTTTCCTGCCCCTGTTCTACCTCAGATTTGGATGCCCTAACCCCACCAAGCTTCTGTAACCTTGTTTTTTTTCTTCCTTTTCTTTTTGGACAATGATGCATGTTTATATATTTTGGCTGTTTTGTTCACCTAATAAAGCACAAATTATAAGTACAACCCTGTCAGCTTCTCATTACTTGAAATGCAGATGCATGACAGGGACATTCTGCTTGACTTTCTTGCGTTTTTTATATTTTATTTTTTAGTCACATGTTGTTTCCACATGATTGTTGGACTGCTGATCCACTGTGAAGGCGGAACTGAGACAGGAACCTTCTATTCTTCAAACTGTGTGGTGCTTGTCTGCTGAGTCACGGATGTGAGAGGAAACTCTGAGCAGGAAGTTTGGACGTGTTATACTGGGAATCATCATCATAACAACATCCCACCTTACACGGTTTATAGTTGTGGTATCCAGCTCATATGATACTATTTCTCACACACCATCACGTGTTCTTATTTGGTGTTTTATTTGAATGTGAAATTGGGGGCCTGGATAAATGCCACAGCTATCTCCGACTTTAACCACTTCTATTAAGGTTAGAATTCTCTTTTTTAAGATTTATTGTGTTCCAGTTGAAGTTAGAAAATAAAATTATTTTAAAAATAGTCAAAACAGGACACTGAACACATTTTCTTCAGCATCAGCACCTCTTTATTCAGAGAAGAAGACAGTTATCTCAAAGCATACATTCAGCAATAAACAACAACAAACAACAAAATCATTGTGCCTCTCTGGCTGAGATGAGAAGGATTTCCACAAAAGACACACGTTACAGATGGTGGCAGGAGCTCCACGATCGTCATCAAAACGCAGCACAAACCATTTGTGCCTGAAGCACCTCAAAAATAAAACCGGTTAAGCGGCCACTCCCCATCAAATCTTCCATCAGATTGCAAAATAGCGTTCTCGAATTGAGCTTGCACAGGCAACCGCTCAACCTGAAGTGGATGTATTACGGCCCACTTTGGGGATTCTCAAAGCAGGAGCAATAACACGACCTCCCTCTGCAAACAAAAATGACAAAAGGCTCATCTCTTCCCCAAAGTAGTGAGGCGACTCCCTTTGAACTTTATGTGTGATTCTGGATCTTGGAAAGGTCATAAGAACATAAGTTTAAAAAAAACATATCTTTGTGTAATGTTGACTTGAAGTGACCAGGTTTGCTGGATACTGAACCACTTTGCTGTAAAACGTCTCATAATGTCATACATTTTTACTCCCTTCAAATGATGTTGTTTTTTTAGTAGCTTTTTGAGTGAAAAGCAGGTTGGCCAACTCGGCCTAAATCAGTGTACTTATTACATGCACGTCAATGACCACGTTACAGATGTCATTTTCCTGTGAAATGATTTTCTAAAAAATAAATTATCTATCAGTGAGGAAGCAGTCTTTCACTATTAGGATCCAGGGATGAGGGAAACCAGCAGAGTAACAGCAGTGAAAAGGAAATGTTTCATGTTCTGAACCATCATTTTAACAGGCACATTTTCAAAGTCAAATCATACACAGTCTCATATCACTGCAATGTAGCTCAGGCATTTAATTATCACACTTCATGGCACAATCTGTCATTTCATTAATGTTTTTATCTCTAGGGTGGAAATTGGTTTTCGCATTACTCATCTCTTGCAGAACAAAGTCTGTAGGACTGTGAGAGATTAACTACCAAGTCCAAGAACATTTAAGTCCCCACAATAGCTTCCACATGAACTGGCCTCGGCTCAGTCGGCGAGTCCAACCATCCTTCTGCTTATGTCCCACAGTTTCTTGGCTGCCTGGTCATCCGTAGCTTTGGCCATCAGCTCCTCCTCCTCACAGTTAGCAAAGCACTTCCCCGACACTCCCTCTACCTCCGGGGAGCAAGCGAGATAGAGCGGTGTCTGAGCTCCCTCCAATGGACTTTTGAAAAAGGCAAACGAGGCGAGGTGGAACAGCGGCTTAGCCAGGAAGGGGATTTTAACATGCCTGCCGAGTCTGGTGCGCACAATGCCCGGTGTGAGAGCATTGACCGTCACCCCCGTGCCCTCCAGCTGACGAGCCAGCTCCAGAGTGAACAGCAGGTTGGCCAACTTGCTCTGACTGTAGCAGAAAGCTTTGTCGTAGTTGTTTTCACTGTTCAAGTCGTCGAAGTTGATGTGGCCGTATTTGTAAAGCTTCGAGGAAACGACCACGATGCGGCTGGGAGCTGAAGACTTCAGGAGGTCCAGCAGCAGATGGGTGAGGAGGAAGTGACCCAGGTGATTCACTCCGAGCTGCATCTCAAAGCCATCCTCGGTCTTTGTGTAGGGACACTGGTAGAGACCCGCGTTGTTGACAAGCACATCAATCTTTGATTCCTCCTGACAAGCCAGAGACATTCAAAACATTTCAGGCTCTTTTTTAGATCTTCACAGCATTGATTAATACATGCAGGCAGTAGAAATTTGGGATTTTTGTTTCTATTCAGGAAAAGTAATCAGGTAAGTTAGTAGCTTAGGTGGATTTAGAATTGCTTGTAGCTTCATTTTAAACTTTAATTAGCAACCTCGAGCATGTATAACATGTTAGGTTTGTCCTAACAGCCAGGTATTTTTTAAATAATTTCATTAATCACTTTCAGACACAGATGACTCCATTTAATTTGTTTTGATCCTCGGGTGTGTTCAACAAACATAAATCATTCAAGTCACCTTGAAATTAAACAAATTGTCTCCTCTAAGATATACCCTGAGAACATTTCTTATAATTAAAACAAGAAGTAATTACTTTTTTTCATTCAGATCATTCTGCTGGACTTATGGTAACAGCCTTTTGGGGCCCTGCAACTGAAACAACAGTCATAATTTAGTCTAGCAAGTATTTGCCCAGGGTCAACAAAGGAATTCAGCACCATGGACAGCCCTAACTATAGTACCACTGTCTGTCTGTGGAAATAATACATGACACAGGACATAATATCCAACAGCAGCTAGAATTGACTGGGATTCCTGCAGTAGGGCAAACACACACATGGTCATTTGCACTGCTTTTCCAAGTTGTGTCATGTCACTTACCTCATTTATTTCCTGACAAAACGTTCGGACAGATCCGAGCGAGGCCAGGTCTAGGTGCTTGATGACTACCTCTCCCTGCTCTGGTCCCGCTTGTCTCTTGATGTCCTCGGCAGCCTCCTCGGCACTCTTCTGGTCCCTGCAGGCCATGATGACCCGGGCACGGAGCTTCAGCAGCTCGCCAGCGAGGGCCTTTCCTATCCCGCTGTTAGCCCCGGTCACAATGACCGTCTTTCCACGCATGGTGTCGGCTGGGTAGCAGAGCAGTTTAGCGGCCTTCTGTCGGGGGAACAAACGGCGCATAAGGAGCAGGAGCCCACCGCCAACGACGGCGGCAAAGAGCACAGCAGTTGACATATGAGCAGGGTCGGCAAGGACAGCAGCGCCGCGCGACACAGTTTGTTATGTATCTAAGTTGTGCACTTGACCCGGAAGTAATTATGTGACTGGCTTTTTGCTAATTGTTGCGTACATTATACATGTTACAGTAGTTTACAGTAGGACTTAATTTATCGAAGTGACAAAATTAAATTAGCAGTTCAATGGTGGACTGGAACATTTAAAAACTAGCTAATAGTTAGCTACGTCAGAGGTGTGGGTTCCTAAGAAATACTTCCGGGGTGTTTTTTTTATAACGGAACCATTATTGGACGTGGGTATATTTACTATGATATTTTACAATACATGTCCTAATAAATGCAATTAAAGCGTGTAAACGACAAAAATGATCATTGCCCCCTTAGCACATCATTGTCATTATTTGTTGTCTTTTTTATTCATGTGTAATTTCTATGAAATATCGCTAGGTGTAGCTATTGATGCGAGAAAAAGAAGTTCCTTTACTTTTTCAGTTTTAAAACCAGTATGAAATACATTTCTCTAAACTGCCACAAATTGAGCTAGCAGTTTCTAAAAAAAAAAGGACCAAGCCTTAATAGATTAATATCTATTAAGCAAATTAAAGAAATTTGTGTCATTGGAAGTGTGACTTCTGATTTTGGAATATATTTCATAAAGTTGCTTGAAATAACCAAGCACAGTACTAAGAATTTCTCAAAATGAAACGCTAATAGACAATTGCTTCGCATGGTTTGCATTCAGTTTAAAAGAAAACTGGTTTATGAGAAGTGTGTCTTGCTTGAAAATTTTTTCAATCAAATTGACTGTAATGTTAAATCTGGGGCTAAATCTATAAATAAAAAAAGGCGTCACGTCATTGTCATTCTAATCATGCGAATCTAACCTAAGAATGAAACGTAACATGGGTCAGAATTTGAAATAAGAAACCATAATTCCCAAAGAGAAATTCTGCTTTAATCAATACCGTAATTGTAATATAAACGCACAAGAAAAAAAAGTGAGGCATTCACCGTCTTTCAACAAACGGAGGCTGGTCTGCCGGTGTTGTGCGAAAAAGTGAATGTTTGCGAGAATCTGATCAAGCTCGCGGGAGCGCGCACCGCAGCTGCTGAGCGATACCGTAAACTTGCTTTTCTCTGGATTAAACGGTCATGACATGCAGATACACACAGTTGCATTATAATATAGGCCTTATTAAATTATAATATAGGCCTAATTAAAGATTCGAAAGCTTAACGTTTGTCACATAACGGCAGTTAGGTGACAGACATGTTTCTATACTCGGTCTGATGACTTTGTGTAGCCCTGACATTGGAGACTACACTACAATAAATATGATTCACTGGAGGGTTTTCGATAAAGATATGATAACTTTTGCAACGATCCTCGTGACTCTGCATCGTTTCTTATCTGATCTGGCCGTATATAGCACGAGTTTCCCATGTTTCTATTTGTTTTGCAGTTTTCAATCGGTTTTCACCTGTCAAAAATTGATTGAAGGCACAGTATAGTCACTCAAAGGTTATTTCTACCTAAATATGACTAGATTTCCTTCAGGAGATGCATGATTTAAAGATCTGAGCTCACAAAACAGCTTGGAACTCTTTTAAAGGACCATTACAACACAAAATAGCCATTTTGACTTGCAAAAAATGTATTAAAGCCCACATGCTGTCATTCAAAGGGGATATCTGCCCAAATATGACTTGATTTCATTCAGAAGCATCTTA